GATGTTTTGACTGCTACTTTCATAGGCTCGGATTACTCATCCAAGTAAAACAAAATCCCTGATAACGTTAATCTTTTCTGTTTATCATGATTCTGCATGTTGGTCTTGTGAGGATTTTACGAGTGACTGATTTTTCACTATCCTTAGCCTACGTAATCTTTAGCTATGCTAGTATTTTAGATATATGGTAATATAGAAAACTAAAATGGAAAACTACATATTTAATAATGTCAACTTAGAAATTATTTATAGTCTTATAAAAACTTCAATTTACAAAATATCTCTGTCTATAAATATTTCCTATATTCCACAAGGGTCATGCTATATATTTATTTTATGGATTATTTTACTTTAAATAACTTATTAAAATATAACCAGAGCTAAAGTACATAAATGTACTTTATTAGCGGCAACATCTTTGCTGGAAATGAAGTTCCTTTATAATATTACTTAGTATTAAAAACATAGTAATTTTTAATTTTCATTGTTTCTAAATGATTTGTTATCATTATCTAAACCATTTCTAAGGCAAATTAATTTAAAAGAGTCAGAAATATACAGAAGGTGCTTTAAAACATTGTACATTTTTTTACCCAATATTAAATGTTAATTTTGATAACATCAGGAACTAAATGCTGAATAATAATATTTAACGTTTCATATTTACCTTTATTTTTTGGGAAAGTAGTAGTCCTGGTGTTACTGTGTTTAAAGCATTCAGCTGCTAAACAAGAGCTCTGTGGTGCCAAAGCACCAGTTGCTCCACAGGAAAAAAGATTTGGCAATCTGCCTCTGTAAGGATCGTCAGCCGTGGCAAACCTGTGGGGTGGTTTTACTCCGTTCTACATGGTCACTTTGAGTTTGAATCAACTTGACCAATGCTAATGTAGTCAGGTTTGGGTTTATTTGGAGTAAAGCTGTGCCTTCCTCTCCAATTTGAACTTTGAAGTATTTAAGTTGCTTTGGGTTAAACAAAATGTTCCACCAAAGATACTCAGTCCAGCTCTGTAACAGTCTGTTCATGTTGAAACTCTTTAAATATGAAGAGTTATCTCTACTGGGATCTCTTTCAGCTGTCTCAGTAGAAATTCTAATTAGACAAA